TTGGTGACCAAATTTGAATCTAGAGGTTTCTTCTGTGTGTTACTTCTTTGGAAAATTTGCTCAGTACTGCAATCTTGTAGGATTGGATTTTTATCAGAGCACCAGCTGACTTGCCTGTTATCACTTAAGTTACATTCCATTCCATATAAGTCTTCCTTAGACATTTCTGAGACATTTCTTTCCCCCTTGTGTTTCAGGTGGCCATATGCTACATTAGCTCTCGCCCCCACTCAGTCAATGTCAACTGTGAAGGGGTGTTCTTCAGTGGACTTCTGCTCTATCTCTGCGACTCCTTCGTCGGTGCAGACCTCCTCAAGCGGTTCAGGTTTCTCAAAGGTAACCTCACTTCTCTGCTGGGCATCCTGCTGCCTCTCTCCAACTAATAATAGCATGGATGAAAAGGCAAAGGCAGAGGAATAAAACGCTTGATTAAACAGCGCCATTATTTTCACAGTTTGTTTTGGCACTGTTTTCAAAAGAAATAGATGGAGTGGTTTTTGAGGGGTGTGTGAAACTTCTGTTCCTGTTGGCAGATAATTGAACCTTAGGTAAGCATTGATAAATGACATTCATTAAGTTATTTTAAAGGGACATCAGCAAGGATTTTGGAAATCAGGCAGTGAATTGTGCAGTCAGCAACTTGTGAGAGTTGCGAGCACAGATGTTAGTGATGAGGTTGGGAAATTCTGCTCTGGCAATCAGTCTATAATGGCAGTAAATCTTCAGTTCTGTAATAAGGAAGGCTCTTAGCTGAAGGATGATTTGATCTGTCTCACCAGAACTTGATAAACCTCATAAAAATCTTTATTTTTGTCTTAATGCTGGCAATTAGCAAATTGCCAGAGGAATTCAGTAATGCTGAAGTGTGTTGCAGAGCTCCAGTGCAGTTGGGGTGGCACAGCTGAGCCATTTCCCTCTCTTGCTGACTGAGGATGGTCCATGTGCAGGGTTACCATAGGGATGACCCTCAGCCAGTTCCAAGAACCACATTTTGAAGTGTGCTCCTCTGGCCTCTTGGGCCCTGCAGGGCAGGGACAGAGGAAGAAGGCTCAAAGACACGTTGGGGATGGTCCTGAAGGTGTCCAGTTCTCCTGCTTATTAAATGATCATGTATAACACCAGGTGGAACAAAGTTTGTAAATTTGTCAAGCCACAGAAGAAATTACAGACTCAGAGTGCTTTACCTAGGGCAGCTCTCATACTTAAGGAAGTCAGCAGATTTTCTTAAGTCAGTAATGAGACTGGTTTGGCTTCGTAGAATTTCATCATTGACCTTCTACAAACCCAAATGTCCTATGAAATAAACAGAAAAGTAGGCTTTATTATTTGGGCTTAATTATCAGTAGTAATTTAAAGACCTAGTTAATGTTCTGTCTGCTGCAGTTGATGATATTAACCCTGCTGTCAGGTAGTGACATCCTGTGATCCAAAGCACATCCCACACCATGCTCGCTTCTCCGTGTCTGTGCCTTCCTGCAAATGGACACATTCATTTCTGTCCTTAGGCTCAAAGGATTGATCTGAGCCTGCACTGGCTGATGGTGATATCACTAATTGGTGATAGACCTTTCTAATACTACTTTTTTACTCCCTAGCAGCAGAGATTTCTTTAAAGTATCTTAGGAAAATCAGTGAAGGAAATGAGTTGTTATTGTACCTCAAGAATCTAACGTGCTTTTCAATTGAAGGTGCCACCCTGTGTGTCATATGCCAAGACAGAAGCTCGCTACGGCAGACAATAGTCCGCTTGGAGCTGGAGGATGAGTGGCAGTTCCGACTTCGGGATGAGTTTCAAACTGCAAACAGTAGTGATGATGAACCACTCTATTTCCTTACGGGACGCCACATATAAGCTTCGCTGAGACACCGCTAACAAAAGAAAAAAAAAAAAAGAACTTTTTTTTTAAAAAAGTACAATCACTGTGGAGCAAAGTGCAACCAATATTTATCTTGACTGCTCTAAAGGATTCCCCATATTCTGAAGTAGCTTTATTCTTTGGGGTAAAATTACCACATCGGTTATGATTTAAAGGATCCTGCATTCCAGTTTATTTTCACATCATTCACAACCACCGACACCAATCACACAGCCAACCAAGCTGTAGGATCTGGGAAGAGGATGTTGTTTTGTCAAAGAAGAATCCTTTTTATATTCAGCTGAGTTAGGGGAAGACGCTGCTCCCCTCTTGCAGCTGTAAGCTTGAATGTGTTACCCTAGCATGTGGAATTTATCGAAGATAGGTGGAGAGCCCACCACGTCTCTTCAGCTCTGTGCTGCGGTACAGGAATACTCAGGGGTTTGAAACTACAATATAAAGTAGATATTTGTATTACGAGGAATAGTCTTGTTCTCTGTGCAGTGTTAGTTTAAAATTTGTAATTGTGTACGTATTGAAACTGTCTTTGGCAAAATTTCCACAGGTGTTCGAAGTTTACTACTTAAACCTGAACAAATGGGCAAATGCATGGCAGGCACTGTGCACCCTCAGCAATGGTAGTTTGCCCCAGCAGGCACCCCCTCCTCAGCTCCAGGGCCCAAAGCAAAAGGCTTCTCAGAGCTGCTCTCTCTTCAATTAGAGGCCAGAGTAACTTCCCAGCGATTCACCCTCAGTTTCTCACTCTCCTCAGAGCTTTGGAAACTTGCAGTCCATCCCTCTTTGTGTTTGGAAATGCATCCTCCTGTTCGTCCGGTGCCTTTGTGGTGGACTGACTGCCTGCAACTCCCTCTCCGTTTGCTTTACACTCAACTCCAGCTGGCTGCAGAGCTGAGATCAGGTCTGAGTTGTACCTGTATGAAGCAACACACCAAGTAATGTGCAGGAGAGTAACAGTGCCTGAGCTGGACCCAAGAGAAACAGAAAGTATTCCACAGTAGCTCCAAGGGGGGGAGCAGAGGAGAAATCCCAGGGAGCTGGGACTGCTCAGGAGGGATTCTCCAGCAGCAGAGATGTGTGACCACATCACCTGAAACCATCATCCACGTACCTCTGTAAACACTGGCTCTGCAGCAGCCACACACTGTTGTATTTCCAGCTGCAATACTGCTCCTTGTGAAGGTGTTCCAGAACTAACTCAATGCTGTAGCATTTGGCTGTCAGAGGTGGATGCAGCAGGGCTCTGTTCCCCTCACACTCAGCAGGTGTTGTCTCACTGAGGTTTGCACACACACCTCCCAACAATTGTCTTTCTGCACATCGTGACACCCTCTAGCAGTAAGAAAAATGCAGTGTTCTTAAAGGCTATTCAGGAATATGAATTTACTCCCCAAAAAAACAATGAAATTAATGCATCTTTATACCTGACTTGCAGTCATTGCAGAAGGACCTGCCAAAACTGCATTTTTTTTTAAGGCATAGTGTTAATTAAGCAACTTTTTTTATCTTGCGAAGAGATGTTTACAGATGAATAAACATAATATATTTGACAGAGGCCAAAGTAAAATGGTTTGCATATGTCTGTGTTGATGTAGCATTATTTCTGATGCTGTAAATTTAGCAAATTTCACATGAACAACCCCTCCTTTCAGTAAATCTATTTTTATTTTCCTTCAGATACAACCTGCCTTACCTATTTTAACACAGGGAAGATGTAGGGATATACAAGATGATTCTTGCAGCATTTGCTACATGCCTGAATGTACTCCAGTAGCTCTGGTTTTGCCAGAGGACTTAAGGCCAGCCCCCAGTCTTAGCGTGGTGTAGAAAAGTGTCAGGTATTACATGTTCAAAAATGGTTTCCTTTTTGTTTGTGTATTTGATGTTTGCACTAAGTTCTTAAAATTCCAGGTGCTGAGACTACCAGCAGGAGCTAGCCCACTGGTGGAGCAGAGCAAAATGGTCCTGAGGGCTGAGAGTGCATTTAGAAAATCAGTGTATTTGCCTGCCTTTACCAGCTAATAGTTAAACCCATTTCCTTAGTGCTGTCCCCTACAGAAGCAAGTTTTGGTAATGCTGTGGCCAGAGTGCACTACACCAGCCCCAACAGCACAGGCCTGTCCCATGGAACACTTTAAATTGGCTGCCTGTGAATTCCTGGCAAGGAGACCCTTGGTTGACAGGCACATGATTGCTATTCCATTTTGGTTTTAAGCCTTGCCATTAAGGCCATTCTTATGAATGTATGAAAACTGGCCAGCGTTATATTTTACCTGTAGATGTGCTTGTCTATTCACAGGTTAAAACTGAATGTAAACTAAGATTTAAAGAATCATATGCAGATGCTTTTTGCTTAACTTATGTAATTGCTTTTTGTGACTTTTGGAAGAGGGTTAAAAACGTTGCTTTCCTAGTGTAAAGTTTTCTTAACCAAAAACTTGGTGAATCTAGCTTCACTAGTCAGTCTACCTCATGTTACTGTTTATGAACTGAAACTGTCTGAAGTTGTGGCTATGGTATGTTTATAATGTGCTTTCATTAAATTTGAATATATTAAGTTACCATTCCAGACTGCCTCTCTCTTAATGGGTCCTGCTCTTCCTTTCTGAGCCCACCACAGAGGATGGCTTCTAGAGTTCCTGTGCACCTGCACCACTTTTCTGACAAAGCTCTTTACAGGCTGCTCACAGTCCCCAGGAAAATCACACATGGCAGCTTGGAAACAAACAGCCTCTGCAGCCCAGAATCCAGCACTGTTCTGCTACTCCAGCTTTAAGTACTCTTGAGTATTGTTTGGGATGTGGTGCCAGGTCTTTGCTTTAGCTCTAGACCAAGGACAGCACACCATGAACAAGCACATCCTGACTGCACACAGGTTCCAAAATGGAAACAAATGCTAAGTTTAACCTTAGCTAAATCTTTCCCATCTTCCATTAGGGCTTTAAACTGTTACTCAAGACTGAAGGCCCCCCCACTCACCTCACTATAAACCTTGTACAAGGGTGGTCTTGATCCAGAGCTCCTGGGGGCACTGATCATGAGCATGTTATTTTTTTCCCACCAAGAAAAATAAGAAATACAGTAAAGATTCATTCACACTTAGTATTATACAGAGTAACTTTAAAAAAGCTATCAAGTATTTTATTTTTAATCTATCTACATTATGTACAGATCAAGAAAGGCCACAGCAGTTTTTCAACATACAAACCCTTTGAAAGAGGAGAGATTTATGAAGGAGTGACAAGTATCAAAGTGAAGTCCACTAACAAAGGTATATACTCAGTACAATACTTGAAGAATGACGAGTATACCAGTCCTTGGGCTTTTCATTCCACCTTTAACTCCAAAACTCATCTGGGGGAGAAGGGGACAGGGGCTACATCAGGATTCTGATGCTGGTGCCGGGAGCAGGGTACAGGGGCACCCCAGAAGGCACCGTACAGCCTGTGAGGGTTGTTGCCCACACTTCCTGCCCCAGTTCCACTGGGCACAGCCTGGAACTCTGTCAGACAAGTGCTGGTAGTGGCAGCTGGGGCAGGAGCCCAGCGCTCCAGTACTGGGAAGCACTGGTATATCACCTCAGTAAGAACTTCAGCATGTACTCGTCAGCCAGACTAGAGTCTTTGCATTAGTTTACAGTCCACTATGAACAATTTTCTGCTGCATGTAAACATGAATAACTAGATAAAATACAATCAAACTTTTGTAAAAGTTAATAAAATATCTTTCTTTTAAAAAAACAAGGTTAGCCTATTACTGCATTGTTTACAATTTTAATAAAATAGTACAACCGTTTGGTTGTTACCAGTCCTGAGTTCACTGTAATAAAAATGGCCCTGGCTTCTGCTGAAGGTCTGCACCCACTCCATGCAGTTTGGCAGAAGTCTCCAATAAAAATGGAATTCCTGCAGAGCAGTTAAGTCTGGTGCTGTCCATTGAGGAAGTTATATACCAGGAACTGGCCAGTGCCACAGTACTGTGTTGCAAAGAGCTTTCCATCAGGAGTGGGGTCAGAGAAAGCAATTTCTTCCTTGCTTAAGTATGAGCCATATATGAAGTTGCTCCTGTTTAAAAAAAGGGAAAAGGAAAAAATAAAAGATGATAATTACCCTCAGAGAATCATGAAAAATATTTATGCTGTTAGGTGACAAACCATTAATTAAGTGGCACAGACACTCAAAAGGAAGAAGTTCTGTTAGGAGGAGATGGGTCTATTCACAGGATTTATCTCCTCCTTCCAAAGAGCAAGAAGGACCACTGGCTCTGAGAGAGGGTTTTATAAGGGTCTGGTGTTTTAGAAGGAATATTTGTACATAACAGTTACATCAAGAGTTCAAATCCAGAGTTTAAAATAAAAAGTTTGAATTCATTCCAAAGATTTTTTAATAGAAATGAGAGCACTAGGGCTGCGCCTACAATCACTCAGAATGAAAACAAGCTATTAATCAAGTTGGGGTGCTTATGGAGGGGCCTCAAGGGACCAACCCCAAGGCATAATTTCTACATACACATTCAGTAATTAACTATACAAAAAGAATTAACTTGTTCATGAAGAGTATTTCCTATATGTTTTAGTCTTATTTGAAAGGAGAGCGGGAATCAAGTGATAGCATTCTAATTCCCTGGCTGGCTGCGTGAGCCATTTTAGAAAACCGAATTCAGGGTTTAAGACCTCAATTTGTGTTAAAGGGAGGTGTTATTTTATCCTTAGAAACAGAAGGAAATCCCTTTAGACTTAAGTTCTTTAGTTTCTATAAAATAACCAGAAATGTACTTGAAGAGCAAGTAGGAGTTTCACTCATATGGACATCACTATTAAATACATTAAAGAGAAAAAGATAGAAAGAACAAAATCCTTTTTAATTACTACCAGCTTTATTCTCTTCTCTTTCACGTGTTCAGGAAGATGATTTTGCAAGGTTAAGACCGAGTGGATTTCTGTGACTCCAAGGTACTGTGATAGCCTGAGTGAAATGGGGCAGACATTCTCAAAATGAACTTCAGTCTGTTATGATGCCTTCAACATTTTGAAGTCAGGATTTAGCTGGTTACCAAAATTATCCCATTCCAAGTACCTTTTGCTGTGGAAAATATTTAGGTTTAGGCAGCTGAGCAGATGTAAGTGCTTACTGCCATCCCAAAGCAAGTCTCACTCCTTTCCTTTGCCTTCTGTAACTTCCTAGGCTCCCTCATCAACACCAGCTCTAGAGCTTATCAGACCTTTCTATAACCCAGTAATGCACCAAAATAATGCAAAACTTTTTAGTGAATACAGCAGTGAGCTAATGGAAGGCCAAACAAGCACCAGAGCACAGCAAAAGGGGAGGTGCTGTGCACAGTAACAAGGAAAACTGAGACCTCACTAACTGCAACGGGTCATCAAAATTTATTCTAAAGATCCTTTAGGGCTGTAGCTGAGGAAGTAACTTCAGCATCATTTTGGAAGAGAAATCTTTCCTTTAGAAATAGTTTCTAGGAAGCTACAGAACACACTATTAAAAATCTGCCAAAAACATAAGCAAATCATGAAGTTAATATACTTCTGTGAATACAGCTTTACTGTCAATAGGTCAGCCAAAACATGATCTGATCATGATTTGCTCCACCAGCTGGGCAAGATGAATTGTGCAGGGCAAAACAGCTTTGCTGAGCTTTCCAAGTACCCAAGGGGGTGAGGACTGGCAGAGGCAGCAGTAGCCGTTTTAGAAACTCCAAAAAGATGAGGCGAGCACAAACCTGACAGCCCAGCCATCGTTAAGATTCGAGCAGTTCTTGCCATTACTCAGAACTGACATTTAAACTTCTTGGAAAGAAACCTAAGGTTTGGAGATTCAACATTTTAACATTTATCTAGACAATAGCACAGATGTTTGAGTCCTTTTTATGGACTCAAACATTCAGCTGGAATACACACCACTAGCTACTAAAGCTCCATGGAAACTGAGAATATCCAGAAGGTTCAGTGAACCTGAGTATATATAAAAGAGCTAAAACATAACAACAGCTGGAACCACCAGACTACACCCATAGTTTGGTGCACTGGGTCTCTGTTGCTTCCTTCTTGCTACCTCTAAGTAATGGACAATCAGCCAATGGTTGGGTCCCAGTCCATGGGTAATCTCACACTTGGACCAAAGACAGTCCTGTGTCCTTTACTCATAATTACTGTGGAGGAATTACCCCCGGAGTCTGCCAGGGTGACTCGTTACCATTACACTCAAATGTACTGACATTAGTTACTGAACTCCCCCTAATACTGGAACTGTCAACTGTGCTCAAGTCCATACCTCCAGCAGCACCAGCAGCTTGGAAATACAAGCTTGGGACAGACATAACAATCAATGTCTTGCAGGGAGTTGTGTGTAAACCACGTGTGGCTGAGGAATGTTGCCCTCTCACCTGAGACACTCTATCATGCGAGAAGCGATCTTCTTGCGGCGCATCATGCTGAACACCCAGATCCGACTGATCCCGCAGATTGCGGGCTCTGGAGAAGTTGAGCAGCACCACGCTTTCTGTCTCTCAAATATCACTTTCTCATTTTCTGAACTGATTTCTGGAACCTTCTCTTCTATAACTCTGTAGCCCTGCAGATGATGTAAAAAACATTCATTGCTTTATAAAAGCATCACTAATGACTGAAGAAAAGAATTAATGTTTAATTTATTTCAGTTAAACACACTTGGCTGCTAAAATGCCTTACCAAAAAGACTGTATTTTTGCATCTCATTTAATTTCTCATAACAGTTCCAAAAATCAAGAAAATTATAAAAGATTAAATAAAGAAAAAACCCTCTGAAGTTTCTCTCACTTAAAATAACAGCAACAAACAATCCAAACCTTATTACCACCTGTATTAAAGTGTTTGCATCAATTTCTCTGGCTTTGACTAGGACTGTTTTGCTTGCTGTCTGATAATCCCAAGGGACAACAGAAAACAATACACTTTGGAATGAAGAGACAGATTATGTGACATCAGTGATTAGCACTACAATGACCTCTTGTACTGCCTTCCAGTGCAGTTCTGTCCTCTGCATTTATTTCCTGTGGAGCTGTTTGACCCTGTGGTGATTCAACTCAATCATACAGAACATCCACTCTTTCATCCATGTTGGATTTCTGCTGGGTAGGGAGTCGAACCTGCTTGTTGACAAGCAAGAGCACAGCCAGAGCTGTGTAACAGCAGAGGAAGAAAAATTCCACCCCTCAGCTATATCAAGTTTTTAAATTATGAGGTCTGAGCCAAGTGTGACACCATCCATGTGTCTCTGCTCAGTGTCAACCACACAAAACTGAGTAACCACATTTCAGAATGGTCCAACCACCCAGTCTCTTCCTCTGTGGAACAGGCACACACAGAGTAATAATCTGCTGTGTAAAACAGTTATTAAGCACTGACATAGATTATCTTTCTCTAATTCAATCACTTACCCACTGGATATGTTCTGCAATTAAGCAGCCAATGACTTTTTTGTCATTCGAAATAAAAAGAAGAGTTTTAGTTCTAGAGTAGCACATGAGAGGAGTTTGCTGAAATCCCAAGTCATTGTCTACCATTTCTCTGATTTCTTCAACCTGTCAAAATAATTGTAAATGCTGTATAAGAAACACATCTAAATGCACATTTTTATAAATTTCCATTAAAATCACAGAGTTGCAGAAATGTATTAGGGTATCTAGAATACTGAAATCTATTCCAAAAGTTAAGGATCAGCCCAAGTAACCTGCAACACATCATCTGCATAAATGTTCCTTCAACAATACTGGTCTGGAAATAGGAAGAGTAGAGACCCCTCAGTCAGCTTCCATTGAGTCCAAACTTCACTAGACAGAGGCTAATAGAGAGAATGCAGATAATCAAACTGTGAGCTCTGATATTTTTGAAGTCAATTAGATCGCCAAGGAAAGTTAAAGCAGGTTTAGGATTTTTTGTTATTTTTGAAGTCTTGAAAGAACTAATCCATTAAGGGTTTTGAGCAGATACCAGCAGGCACAGTGCCAAGGCAGGTAGAAAATACAGGCATTTGTTTTAAAGGAGTAACTATTTCCTCTTTCCTTCAGCTTTTTACTCATCCACTGGATTTGCAAAGAGCAACTGAAACTAAAAATAAAATTTTGTTTAGTATTAGCAAGTTTAGCAAAAATAGATAAACACCAGCATGAACATAAATGAAAGCTTATGCATGAGCTTATATTTTACTGAGGCATTCCTGAACCTACATCTGGATGTTGGAACAGCCTCTATCATCCCTCATCTCCTGTAAGACAAACAAGGTGCCCTCACCTGTGGTGCAATAAATGGCATAAGCTTCTTGAAGGCAAGTTGTAGTTAGAGCAGAAATGCACAAGGAGAATTACTGATGCTGTATCACAGAATCACAGAACAGGTCAGGTTGGAAGGTACCACATCTGGTCCAACCTCCCTGCTCAAGGAGGGCCATCCCAGAGCACAAGGCACAGGATTGCATCCAGACAGTGCTTGAATATCCCCAGTGAGGGAGACTCCAAACCCTCTCTGGGCAATCTGTTCCAATAAACAGGCACCCACACAGTAAAGAAAGCTGGGTTAAAAATGCTTTAAAAATAAATTTTAACAGGTATGAATTACTCTCTATTTTCTCACCTTCAGGTACTAATCATTTAATGACACATCCTATTATCTGAAACACCAAGTAAAACTATTCTTGAAATCAGGCACCCATGCTTTTGACAGCTGTAAGATTCTATCAACTTCAGCTACACAGAACTAGAGAGAACTCTGTTCCTAAATGACTTAATTTGCTACAGTCTTCCTTCTTTTTCTGCAGCCATTATATTAAAAATGAATGTACAACTAATGTACTAAAATTAGGGGAATCCCACAAGAAAAATAAAACTTAAAGAATAAACTTATCTGCATCAAATGTGAAAACCTGTAGTTTCTTTTTAATTCAGTAACTTAGACTAAAGAAACCTGCTACAGCCACACCAACAGCAAGAGCTGTCTTGGGCATCCATTCAGCCTCCAGAGGTCCCTTCCACCTCAACCATTCTGTGACCCTGTGACAGGGATACTGTAAAAAGTCGCCATGAGCCACAGCAAATCCCCAGCTAAGCTGAGTCAGTGCCAGGGTACAGTGAAATGACACTTTCAGATGTATGAACACAGGTTAGCCAGCAGGACACTGAAGTACCAACTGCTTTAAGTCCCCATTAGTGTGCTGGGACCAGTTTTAGAGCTTCATGGAAGACTTGAGTCATGGCACAAATGGAGATTAGCTAGAAGAGAGCATGATAATGAATGGAGCTCTAAAATACATTATTTAGGAGTATAAAATAAAAAAACCAGCACATCCAGTCAATCTCCCTAAGCTAAAAAAAAATCAGTTTGTTCAGGCACAAAAAATCTGCTGCCAGGAGGAAAAGAAGAATGTTTTCTTTAGCTGTGGCAGAATGATTAGTACTAATGAGCTTAAATTGCAGTATGGAGATTCTGTTAAGACAGACATTCATGCTAATGTTCTGGTTAGCAAAGCACTGTAATACTGTCTGAAGAGGTCAGACAAACATTTAGTGGTAGAATTTTTAGAAAGTCGTCAGATGCATCATAATCAGAGCAAATTCTGCTTTGGACATGGCAAGAGACTAGATGACTTTAAGGCCACTTTCTACCTAATTCTGTTTTTATCAGAAAGTCACCCAGAGAATGGTGCCACATTTGTGCTATGTTATAAAGTTAATAAATTTCACTGCATTTAAATAAAACAGGAAGTTTATATTACATAAAATATCTGTCAGACATTCTGCAAGGATACTTAAAACAAACCAACCCCAAACTTTAAGAAGTCAGTTGGCTGATGCTCTTCCCACCCCTGCCCAGACCCGGCCTCTCTATGAAGAAACCAGCAGTGCTTAAGAGTGAGGTACCTGACCTTCTGAGGAAAAGGGAACAGAACCACTGCAGTTTTGAGTCCAATTTCAACTGTTCACATGTAATTAACACAAACTTTTCCAGGAACATTCTCATTACTTATATGAAAACATCACACAAAGCAGGACATACAAGTCCAGTCCTTCTCACCATACCTTTTTAAGTGCATACTTTGGGTCATCAGGAAGAACCATTATTATCTTCCCATCAGGATATTCAGCCAAGATTCTCTCCTTTTTCCAACCCTAAATAAAACAAACACTTATCTAAATCATATACATGATGTACTTTTACAAACAGAAGTGGCAAATTATTGTTTTAGACACTGAATTTATGCAGATTTGACATAATTTAGCAGTTGCTTTGCTAGAGAAGTAAACTTCATCTAGCCTTTTAAAATAAGCATAACAGATAAAATATGTTATTTATACAATAATTTATACAGTAACCTAACTATATCTAAAAACAATGTGAAAGCACCTTACAATTTCCCAACTAGATTTTCCCCCAGAAGTGCAGAGCAAACTCAATTTTAGAACAGAACTAACAAATTCAGCTCACATACTGATTTCCAAACCATGTAAATACTTATTTTTTGAAGTCCAGTGAATGAGAAAGCCCTAAGTTTTATTAGAAGATTTCTTTTTAACATAGTTACCTCCACAAATACACACTCAGTTTTAAAAGTCTGGCATGCGAAAGACCTCCAGGAGGTTCTAAGTGAACTGACTGGCATGCAGCTGCCCAAAATGTAAGGAATAGTTTATTTTGTTACTGATCATAATTGTTAAAGCCACAAGAAGGATACTAGAAAAAAATTTATAACTACCTTCTAAGAATCTAATAGGGAAGGAGACTACGTTGTGTGTATCTGAAGTATAAACATACTCAAAAAAATAGAGGTAATTAACTCTTCTTCAGATCCACACTCGTGGTGAATAATGAGCAGTACCTGCATGGAAAAAAACAAAACAAAAAAGCCACTTAAATCTAGCAAGATGGGACTGGTAGATATTAGAACTGAAGTTGCTTTGATGGGACCTAAAAATATTGAATGCAGAAGTAACTTCAGCCACTAAAAAGGCTGATCTACAAGTCTTACTTCAAAGCAACTTTAAATAAAAAAGTCTTTGAAGAAACAATACTGATGGAGTGATTCTCATTGAAATCTGCACCTTCCCATAAAATAACGTTTGACTGAAGACCAAGCAATGGAATTTGGCACTACATGAATGCCATATATACTACCACAAAGAAGTGTTAAACTTCAGTGTTATAATACTTGATCTGCACCTCATTTTATTCATACTGATTTTACTCCCTTACCCCAAGGAGCACATGAAGTGAAAAATTTGAGATATGTATCTACTTGCTGCTAGCCCTGCAACTATTTAAGTATCAGTTTAGCACCCAGCACGGCAATCATCGCAACACAGACACCATTTTAATCCTGTCTGCTTTTCTTCTCAGCAATAACTGAACAAATGAAGATCCTACTTGAATTTATTTATATTATGGGCTTAACAAAAAGGGCAGTAAACAGCAGTGTCTTATTTAGGGGAGCAGGAAAGTGTAATTTGTGGGATTGTAACATGCCTCTTGAGACTGTCATCAGGAAAGGCATCAAAAATCAGGGAAAGATTCCTACTCTCCAACCTCAAACCTTACCTCTCTCGAATTTTTGTCTTTTTCTGCCTTTTGGCTACCTGCTTGCTCTGCAAGAGCTTTTTACTGCTTATTTTAAATCATCACTCACTGTTTGATAATCCTGCCATTACAGCATCCAGACCGCCACAAGATTAATGAAGAAAATTCAACACTAATTTTCACGTTAAGGTATCCTGTTAATGGTATAGCCAAGTATTTCCACAAAATGAAATCAAATAAAGAACAGAACACTTCCCAACATCATAGTATTTATGCCTTTAAGCAACAGTATATTAGCACAAGTCTAAAAATCTGTAAAAATGCAATAAATGGTTCTCAAATGTATACGACTCATTATTTTCATTACTGTCCACCTGTTCATCTTCTTAAGTGATCTGTATAATATGGAGACTGATGATATTCACAGGAGGGGTCGTTTCTAAATGGAAGTATTCTGGAATTCAGAAATGCATCTTTTAGATGCGGCTTTCCAAAAAGTTTCTGCAAAGCCTAAACTCATGCACATTTTTAGTGAAGCCGTTTTACAGCCATATTGAGCCTTTAAAGTCATATGAAGCTCTAATAATGTTATAAAGAAAAACTATGATTTTATATATTTTTCTGCACCTTATTGCAGTGTTTTGCTTCCTTTAAACCACGGAAGCAATGCACAAGACTGGTCACAATTCTGTGATATTATAACACTGAAGGGAAAGTGCTACAGTCACAGCTGGGACTAATCCTATTGGATATTTACAGTACACAAAATATGCTTTAGTGACAGCATTCTCATGTGGTCTGAAAATCATTTCCCTAAACACACCTATTAACAGTTTTTAACCAATCCCCCACAATTTTAACACTACTAAAATACTACAGTCTGCAAGGTATTTCAATAATTGAGAACTAAAGTGGGACTCTTTCAGCAGGCAGATAACAAGAAAGACAAGTCTGCAATATATAGTATTTTACTGAATGACAGAAAAACTGCTTTGCCTTTTCTTTTAATTGACATTACTTTAGGACATTAAGACTTATTTACTATTAAATCAAATGCCCATTGACACACATCCCCTGGGATGACCAAAGAAGTTAAAAGGGAAGCTACTCTCTCACAGGGAAACATGTTCTGCAAGTACACATGTTCTGGAGTAAAAGCAGATGATGACAGCACTCATCCCTGATGCTGCAAGTCTGTGCCCAACAACAGATGACCTCCAGGCAGCAGCAAGGCAGGCAGAGATCCTTCACCACAGCTGGGCAGGCTGGTGCTGCAAGGAGGTGTGTAAGCACTGCAGCAACCCCTTCCTCTCTCCATGTTGGGACTATTGACCCTACAAGTATTTGTAACTGCTTGAGAAACTAAGGCAACTCTGCAATGCACTGTTAGCTCCTTCCCAGTCTACCTCTAACTTCCTCCCAGTTCAAACACGAATAAAGGCTGCTTCTGCTGTGTTTATTAAGGGGCAATGGCAATAGGAGTACAAAAGACATCATTACAAAAATGGCAATAGAGAGAAGCACCTGCTACCAGATCATGAAATAGTGTGGACAGTAGCTACCACTGGAGTGCAGCTCATTGTTTTCACTGGGTATGATGTAAGTATATAAAAAATGAGGTAGAACAGAGGGTGTAAAGATAGCTCCAAGATTAATAGTACAGTAACTAAATGCTCAGTGCTCTGTTTTTCATGAATTATGTTCTGCTAATAGTTCAAAATAATCTCTGATGTAGATTTGTCTTTAAAAGTGTAAGTTATCAGATGTGATAGCCTGCTGGCCATGAATTTCCTAAGTTTTTAGAAATTCTTACATATGAGTAGGAAATGATATAGCAATGCTGATGCCTTTCTGTTTATGCCAGTTCTGGCTTTTTTGTACTCACTATTTCTCAACCAGACACAAAAAGATGAAAAAAACCAGTGTTTTTTTCTTATAAAGCTTTTTGCCTCAAAAATACTGAGAAAAACATGGTTAATACTGTAAAATTCCTGATCTTCACTATGAAAAGCATTTATGAATTTTTCCCTAGTAATGAAGTCTAGTGTGAAATTTTGTAAAATATTGTCCTTGACAATTTGCAGCAGAGAAATGGGTCTGTTGCATTCTTCTTCCTGACAAGTACAGATATTCTGCCTCTCCTTCCTAGGCATGGAATGTAGAGAATGAGTTTTTGACTGCAGAACACATTAAGATACTTGGATATAACTTCTAAACTATTAAAACTTCTCACAGAAGAATATAATGGTGAGAACTTCATTTGTAACATTATTTTTATGTCATACAGATGCATTACTTTTGGAATTAACGCAAATCAAGACAAGTATGAAATCCTTCTAAGACAACATGAAGTTCAGCACCATCTTCAATCCCAATATCCTATAAATTTCAGATGCCAAGAAGTCAAATATTGCTTTTCTTTAAATGTGAGAATCCTAAGAAGCTCAGAGACTAACTTGGGTACAGTTACAGCAGAATAGCTATAAACTTATCAAGATTACACAGCCCAAATAACAGTTTCCCCCATTTTCTTAAGCTCAAGATATTTTTAACCAAGAAGATGAGCTTGAAATACAAACACATTAACTGCAATCACATATGACACCTGAATCCACATGCATTTACTAACAAGGTTTTGGCTTTGCAACTTCAGAACACCATTAAAAATGCCTTGCTCTTACAAAAATATTTTGCAGAAATACTAAGTTGATCCTACATGGTATCAGAGAGAGGATGCAGAATTGATACAGTGCGGTATCACAGCTAGATAATTTTATAAAACTGAATCATTTATCCATCCCACAGAGCTGCCCATCCTGCTGGAGCTAACACCTGATGTGTACATCACTGCTCGGTGCACACACACACAAACACTAGAATGGCATCATTTGTCTGTCTGGAGACTTTGAGATGTCTGAAACCAGAGGAAATTGAGACACATTGCTCCATTTGTCTGCAGCTGGGGACATCTTTCATTCCTGCTCCAGTGCTATCCTTGGCTATCTTACCTTCTTGCTAATTTAATCTGCATGCTTCTATTAATAGAAAATGTCACCCTTAGGAAAACAATCCTTGCCAATCTTCTGTTCTCAAATCTAGAAATTGTCATTACACTTGTCAAACTTCCTCTCTACACACATGGCCTACAATTACCTTAACATCTCTAACAGACACCCGTGACAAAGCAAGTATCCAATACTAATTCCTTGTTAGCCTGTCCTTCTTTTGGGGTCACCACAATATTTCTAGAGATCTAAACAGAATTTTTTACTACAAGGAGTAAGACAGGCCTTTAAAATAACCCACTGAACAAAGTTGTATTCTGTTGAAGATAATAAGTAATTTATTATTTATATGCAAACTATCTTCTGGCTACTCAATATTTTTCTAAAAACCTACAGAGCACCTCCAGGCAGGTGGGAAAGACACTAACAATAATGTCCATTTTCACAGTTCACAGCAAGGAAGTCTAGCATGACAATGTATACAGACATACTTTTTTTGAGTCTGTGAAATGAATCATTCATAGAACTACTAAGCCCATAACAAGAGATGCTTAAAAGGGACAAAAAACTGAGAAAAGTTTTCTCCAGTCAGACTGGGACATCATATGGCATGGAGAATGTGAATGACAAGAGAATGACAAATGCTTATAAAATCCCTTAGAATGGCCTCTGAATCACAAGTAATGGCAAACATATTAACTACTTATAAAGAGTGTCTGGAGAGCTATAAAGTAACATGTCAAGGTCACTGAGACCACATGTTCCTGGACCAGGATGTCCAACCAAGGAGTTACCAGGACTTTCCCAGTTAATCCCCTGATGCTACTGTTCAGTTAACACTGTCAGGGCAAGGAAGACAGTTAAAATTTCAATGCAGTTAGCTATATACAAATATCCAGAAACCATCCTTCCAACAATGCCCGCTAAAAACCTCCTAGCAAAACCAGGAAAATTAGCAATCATTCCAGTATTTCTGGCTGACTAAGAATTAACAAGTAGTCACTTGGTGTACTAATTCGCTGCCAAGAAGACTTATCTTAAATTGAAGTTATTTTCTAAGAGGAGGCGAGAATGTTTCTGTCACAATACTATCAACCAAGAACCAGTGACTCCAGATCAAATGACTCGTGGTAAAAACTCATCTATTTAGAATGGCTAAAGTTACTCATCCATGCAGAAAAGTGTTAAGATTGTTAAGAGGGGAAAAGACCAAGAGGGGAATTTGAAGACTCCTATGAGTTCTCCTTTCACCTCTTACTCTAGTTTCCATTCCAGAATAACCATCTAAATCATGGCTCTACAGTCATCTACAAAATACAACTAAAGTCTCAAAAGATTACAGAGAAACAACTCTTTACTCATTGAACTAGACAAATAATTTGCTTGAGTACACATTGTTGGAAGTTTTAAGAAGATGGTTAGCAACTGAGAAAACAATAGGGAAAGTTTTTTTTAAATTAAAAGCATACCTAACTCTGTATGAAATTATTTATGGCTGGTTTAAGGCAGTCCGCTCATTCACGTTAATTATGTAGCTACCTTAGACATACACACAAGTGTGAGATTTCAGCTCTTTCAACTTCCAAAATATCCAAAACTTCAGTACAGCTTCTTACCCACATGAAGCTACTGAACTCATGTGCCAAAGAGCTTCTGTCCAAAAGAACTAAACATCATCTTCTGTGAATTATGCTTACATCTTTGGTAACATTCAGGATCTGAAAGCACTTGAATGGGTGGGGAGAGGGAGGACAAACAGGAATAAAATGGGGAAATGTGTTTTATGCTGCCATTTTAATGTAGTGAGTCCCACCACAATTTCTGCCCAGTCCCACCCAACGACGTACCTAACATGTATCCCAAGAGATCTTTCCAGATGTCCAGATAATTTGGCAAAAACTAACCAAGGACAGAATAAACATCAAAACTATTCACCAGAGACTTTCAAACACTTTAGGGATGAAGTTATATCTTTGTATTTGCAAACAGTGGGATAAAAGTATGCTTGAGATTTAAGAGTAGCCCAACAGCCATTTGGTGCCTACATGAAACAAATAGGTGGCCTCAGTTCAGTTATCCTGGAGGTCTTATCTACTCGAGTGTAGAGTACTGAAGGTAACATGTATGATAAGAAAATAGACTTTGTGGATTCCGTTCTGGATTTCAGACATGTGAACAGGCATTTCCAAGGTCTTGTAATATCAGCTAGTGTGAAGTAGCTGATTTTACAATATGCTTGAAATTATACAGAATTTTTCAAATCTGAGATTTAATGAGAGATACTCAGAGAAAGCATATATAATGAAATTTTCAAATACATATTTTAAAGATCACATTCTCATAAATTCAGTATAGCTTCAATATGCTATGAAATCATATCAGTTGAATTCCTAGGCAGTGTCTCCTCAAATTACACATAATTAATGGAAAAGTAATTTTTAAGTCTTCTAAGATCACACAGTTACAAAAACAGGACAGTCAGCCCTTCATCTGACTATTAAGTCAACTGCTGCTGTGAACACCAGTTGTAGAGAAACCTGTATTTAATACTTTCAGAACAGTGACATTCCTTTGTTTTCCTATCACTACCCTCACACCTCCCCAAGATCAGGTAATTGTAGCAGAATTAATAATATGGCAATGAAAGACCATTATTGTATTAACTATTTTTATACATAATATATAACCTGTCTACCATGGCTCTTAAAAACATTTATTTCCCAAAGTGGATGATTTATGCCCTACTGTGATAATCATTTATTAAAACGCAACTTAATGTAATATAAATTGTTACTAGTAGAGAGCAAACAAAAGATGCTGTTTATGTCTTTCAAAAGAGAAGGTTTTCTTACCACATATTTAACAGCACTTATGAACTGGTTGTGGAATAACAGATGTTGGGTTTCATCCTCTGGATTTGACACAGTGTAAAGCATTCCACAAATATTACAGGAAATAGCACCAAATCTCTTCTGTCCTCCATCCTATTAAAAAAAAAAAAACCAAAACCAAATCAATAACCCACAAAGCAGCAACTTATCAATTCCTTGCACAGTAAATACAGTCAAACAGAACTTTCATTGAATCAGGTATCCCTCCTAATAGCAAATCTCCTGGAAACTCAACACAAAGACTAAAATGGGGTGAAACAGGAGAAACAAGCACAGAATTTAGAATTTCATCTTTCAACAACCCATATACCCTTAAAAGGCACAAGCAGCAATCACAAGGCAAACTCTACCTTAAAAATAGTAGCTCCATCCCCATTACTTTTGAACAAATTACTTTTATTCTGTGACATATAAAGAACAGAAATTTCTTCCTTCATTTCACCATCTGCCGAAATATAAACATGATCCACAAAGAAAATTCCCATATCCAGCCCCACACTACTTGGTTTTTCCTACACTTCTGCTGCTGCCTTTGGTTGTGAGCTGCTTTGAGGTAGGCCACAGGTGAGCCACATTCCTCAAAGTCTGGAAGCTTATCATAAAAAACAAAAGTTATGGAAACAATTATTAAGATCAGCAATACGTCTGCAACAGCTGATCACTACCTCCTTTGGTTTTTAATAACAATCAAATGTTTCAAAGCAATTTTTGAGATACTGCATAGCAGCTACACTGCAAAAGGAAAATCATACCGCTTTTGACTTCTAGGTTCTCCTGCTACTCTATATGCAACCAATACCAAACTCGTGACGCTACTCAATACCTACTGCTTTATGCTTATGCATTAAAAGTGAATTAATCTGGGAACATGCTGAGATTTTGGAGTCAGTGCCTAATGAAGAGTGAGTGAAGTATCAGGCACTGCGGTTGCCTTTTGCAAAGAACAAGAGAATACCAGTTAGAATAAAATCTCTAGCCAAAAAAAGCATGTTTTAGTTACAGCTTAATGCTCAACTCCTTTTCTTCCTCTTTAACTACATCTGGAAATTGAGCTTATATAAGAAGCAATAAATGTCACTTTTAATTTATTTTAACATACATCACAAGCAATAGAGAAAAAGGAATTTGCTGTATACTCTAAACCAGTATACCACACAAGCAAAAAGAGATTTGAGGATGTTTTTTTAACATTAAATTGATCTGCGTGCACAATTTGCAAGGAAACAGATCACATGAATGTAGTATTGTTCTCTAAGAGCTGAAAAGATTCAGAGTAAAAAACCCGCTACTTTACAGAAGAAAGCATTTTGCAACACAGAAGTGTTTACAAAACATTTCCTATTCCTTCCATCTTCAAAGACACATCTAGCAGCTAAAGAACAGTTCAACTCTCTACACAACAGCAGCTTATTTCAAAGAGACATTAGTGCCATCTAAACTGTAGGTACCAGTTTTTTTCCAAGAAGAGACTAAAGGCACAACAGGCCAGACAAACTCAGAGCTGAACATCTTCTTAGGAGCACATCTATGGAACTCAGCCAAAAGAAAGAAGCTGAATCTGGGAAGTCATTGCTTTAACCATTTATCAATGTACAGATCCCTATCATATACAGAAGGAGAAACAGGAGTGTGCAATGTTTCTGAATGAAAAGGGAAAGATGAACCCTGAGGTAGATTTGTCAAGTCACAATAAGATGAGCTTTCTAGAAGTCCAAAACTTGAAACCAAACACATTTTATTTCACTTGCAGATTTCCTTTAAAGCAGCAAAAAAAAGTACCCACCAAAACCAAAGTAGTCACCAGAAGACACTACATTTCAAGGGTTAATACAAGAAAGTTAAAAAAGGCAGTGCAGCTGACTATCTGAATATGAACCCACTGAACCAGATTTAAGAATCCTACCTTGAAGTTGGAGAACATCTCCCCTACACCTAGAGCAGGATAAGTGAAAAGGAAGTGTATTTTGATGCCTGGAATATTTGTCAAAAAAACATCTCCATCACTTAAATTAGAAAACTGGCGACATAAAGCAAGTCTTTAAGTATTGGTACGCATTAAGACTCATGACACAATTTCTGCTCAAACCATCAAGAATCTAAAGGGATTAAACTAACCTGTAAATTTACTATCAAAAAAATCTCAAGCCAAAGTAACCCCAATTATGCAGGAAGTAATCAGAAAACTCAAGGCAAGGACATCCTCAAATCTGTCCAGCTCCCTAGCTCACCCCATTTTGCCTAGTCAATACAAACACTGTTTTGCCAGTTTCCAGGAACAGATTAGTTCCCTGGTTTACAATCAGACTTTCTCAGATGTTGCTGGTATCAGTGGCTTTGAGTTTTGCAGGGGGAGATTTTTTTGTTTGGATTTATTTTAAGGATTTCACTGATTTTACTATTCTACACATGTTCAGTTAATATAAAAACCCTGTTTCATCAATTATCGGAAAATACACATTGTAGTATATAAAGCAATCTTTTGAACTCTGTACCCCTAATAAATGTGGACTATAGCCTTTAGGGAATATTTTACAGTCTCCTGAAGACAAGGAAGAAGATTTTTGTAAAACTGAAGTACTATTTAAAAGCCACAGCACAGGACATAATGTTTCAGGCAAAAATTAAACGCAGGAGGTTTGAAATCCAATACAGACTGCAACAACAAAAAAAGACATGCAAAATAAAGTCAAGAATTATGATGAATGCTTGTTTGTACTTCAACAAAACATCTACAGGATGACTATTTTTAAAGTGATGTCATTGCATAAGCAAAAGTGGAAAGGGCATGCGTATCCAGAGCAAAAAAGTGCTCCCAAATCATAATAGTGCATTAAAGCTTGCCAGACTTTTCTAAGGGGAAGAGATCAACAACAACAACCACCCAAAAACCAAAATGAAACAACTCCAAAACCCAAAAAACCAAACCAAACAAAAAACCCTAAACAAAACCAGAAATAAAAAAAAAAAAAAGAAAAACCAAACGCCTACAAGCTAGGAGCACCTTCTGTACTATGTATGAGAGTAAATATAACAGGGATTTGAAAGTGGAGGGGTGGAATCTTCTCAGCAAGGATCAGATACTGAAAAATGAAGTGCTGACTTGTCACAACTAAAAAAATTTGGATGACGTTTGAGTCTCAGAACTTAATGTTTTTCAGAGCAACAATATTCAGGAAAATGTGGGTTTTCAGGCAGAAAAAATATTGTTATACCATTTACTACTCAGTTTTCCAAACAACAATAAAGAGAAAAAATACTTTTACTTCTTAAGCAAATTCTGTGCACGTACATGGCAATTAAGAATTCCAGTATCTCAGGCAATCCTAAAGTACAGGATATCCACTGTTTTAAGGCTAACTGTAATTGAACATTGAGACAATACTGCCTTAATTCCAGAAGGTTTCTTAATTCTGTGATAGACACAAAGAAAAATCTTACCAATATCTTCTTTGAGAAGATGCATGTCTGCTGATCCTCCATATGTGCAATAAGGAACCCTGCAAGCAAAAAAGGCATTTGGTGCCTCTGTAGGAGATGAAAAGGGGCCTTTTTTTTCTTCCTTCCTTTTCTGTCTCTTCAGTCACAGACTGGGTCACCTCCTTCTTGATTACCTAGTATTAGTTAGAGGAAAACTGTTTTTTCCTCTTTTCCTCTAGCATTTTCACAGAACAAAGAATAAAGCCTAGCCAGAGAAATAGGCAGGCTGGAAAGGAAATACAAGAAATGCAGGAAGAAACAACACAAAGATTTTGGGGCTCTCTGCAGAAAATTAAAAGGTCAAAGAATGCTATTTCAGTGAAAGACACATTCAAGGCTGAAACTGATGGATAGACCCCCTTGCTGACCAGGAGGATCAGAAGACATGTCCCAGCTCAGAATAAAATCCAGTCTTCATTTTGAACAAAAAACCCCAACCAACCAAGAAAAAAAAAAATCCCAATCAATTACCAGTGCCCATCTTCCTTACAAAGCTATTTCAACAAAAGGATATAAATCAACTTGAAGCTTTCAAAGCTGTGATACATCTAATTTTCCTTAACATATTTGAAAAATGAAAATGGAGGGTGGTCATTACCCATCATGAAATTATATCGTCACTGGTTGTTGGCTAAAGCAATATGAAAAGCAATACAAAGTAAGAAAATCAATCTGCGCAGTGTTTACGATGGACAGGTAATCCATTCTGAACTCATATAAAAGTACTGAGCAGGACAATTAAGGAAAGTGTTCTGATGAGCACAGGTTTTGGCTTGGATAAGGTTAATTTCCTTCACAGCAACTGCACTGGTGCTGTGTATCTATCAGATCTGTGACCAAAACAGGGCTGATAACACAGGGATGTTTTAGCTACTGCTGCACAGTGCTCACACAGCATTCAAGGCCTTTTCTGTTTCTCACACTGCTGTGCCACTGAGAAGGAGGGGATGTCAAGAAGCTGGGAGGTGACAGAGCCAGGACCAGCTGATCCCACCTGAGCAGAGGGGTATCCCATGCCATATGGCATCCTGCCGAGCAGTAAGAGCTGGGGAAAGAGGGAGCATGGGGAGGATGTTTGGAATTAATGGCATTTGTCTTCCCAATAGTTACACATGATGAAGAGAAGGCTGAACATCGGCAAGCTGACAAACAGCAGTGAACGAATTCCTTGTTTTGCTTTGCTTGCACGCACAGCTTTTGCTTTACCTGTGAATCTGTTCTCCCCCATCCTACTTGGGGCCGATGAGGGAACAGCTGCACGGTGCTCAGCTGCCTGCCAGGGTTAACCCAGAGCTCAGCATTAGCAGCCTTGGTGCCCGAATTCCTGTAGCAGCTCAGTTACAAAGCATTCTCACCTCCCTTCAGGACAAAGGACACCAAGTACAACCCACCTGAATTTGCAAGACAATGCTGGGCTGCTACAGAGGAGAAGAAATGGGAAGAAGTGATAATAAGAGAGGATACCATCCCTGAAAGAAGAGAGCACCGTTTGTGCGGAAAGAAAAAAACCTGCTCACAACTACCAAAATCTCTCCCTTTGGCTTACGAAGTAGTCCCTGTCTCGTCTTCTCTGGGCTTAGAGGGCAGGAGAGAGGCAGTACTTAACTAATGAGAACAATTAAAGATTGCCTAAAAGCCATTCTTTGAATCTTCAGAGAAATTGCCTAACCAGACTATGCCAGTTTAGGGAAGAAAATAGTAAGTTTAAATGATTGCTATGTAACTTTCTTCATGAATTATTCTCATAAGAAATTACTCTCACACATATTCATCTTAAAGAAAAATATTCTTTTTCATATATAACCTATTTCAGTCAAGCAGGAAACTATGCTCAAATTCAATCAAAATATTTGTAAGGAAAAATTCAAACGTGATATCCAAATGTGTAAACTGGATTAGCATGTATATCACATCCACATGTAGCACCAAATCAAACCTCAGAATCAAAAACACCCTCCCATCAAGCAATCCTGATCCATGCTACTTGCTAAGTTGATACTTTTAAGGATCAACTACATTCAATCACATTTGCGGGCATCCAGGCATTAATTTGGAGTTCTAGAAAGGCAAAAAAGTCCCTGTAACTCAAAACTATCCTTCTATCACTTCAGTGATTTGTTTTCACTGTTCATCCATTTTAGATGTGCTTTCCTAAAACTCGTAACTTACTTTCAAACTAGTCAAATGCAAAGGAACAAACCTCAAAATAGAACAAGTATCCCTGGTGCTTCATAGGTAATCATTTAGGAGATTTCTTTGTAGCATTAATGCTTTTATTGATTCTTATTTTTATGGTCAAAGTTTTGTCCTAGGTCTGAGAGGCAAGCAGAATTTTCACAGGACAAAAACAACTGACTTTCCTTGTCTTGCTTGTGCAGCATCTCTCATTTGATGAAAATTGAGAACACGTGCTTTGTGTATTTGTATTTCTTTCCATTTCAGAATTTAAAGGAACAGATAATTTCATATACAAGTTCTCATATTTGCAAATCACATTCAAGTAATTGCAAAGTCAAGAAAAATTTTAGTGCATTACTCTACAAAGCTTCCTATGGTGCTTCATGCAACCTGACAACCTACCAACTGAACATTTAAATGGAGGGTAAGAGGGTGAAGTTCACAAATATTCAGAACAGACTATTCCACCAAACACCAAGTCACCGATTTGGAACACAATGAATTTTTAGCCTCGATCTTTATTTCTTTCCCCTAAGAGTGGGGAAAGAAAGAGAAGGATTTCTTTCTCCTAAAAGAGACCATTTCAGACTCTCTTTAGTCTGAACCTATCACTTCAAACACCACTGTTTTCTGGCACTGCTTGATTTATGAAGTGTCTTGGAGCACTAGATGCTTTTCTGTTCTCAGCTAAATTCCATGCTCTGAAGACACTTGCTTTTTAAGACGTGTGACAGCAAGCAAATCTGAACAGAAAAAACCCATCATTTGACTTAGATGTTCTTCTACAAAATGAGATAATTTTATGTTTGAAAGCTTCCCAGATAGCTAGATGATGTGTATTAGGAAAGAGAACGGTGCAAGTGCAGCTACTAAGTATTTCTTCTACAAACAGAATTTGTGTTATTTTACTTCTGTTACTCAAATAGCCTTAAAGCTTGTTAAAGATTATATTACTTTAGAAAAAAAGAAAATGAATCTATTCATTCTAGTAACCATATGGGACAAGAAGGAAGCTAAGATACATCTTTAAGGATTAAATATAAAAAGCCCAAAGCATATTGTGAAAAACAAAGTCCAGTTTTACCATAACACATCCCTAAATATAGCTCAGGGACCAAAAAGATTAGAATACACAGACAATACTGTAACACTCCAGACTCTGAGCCTCAGACACCGCAAAAAATTGAAAAGGATAAGTGTCAAACTTTTATATAAAAGACAAGGAAAATTCAGCAGCAAACGAGCAGCAAAACAAAAATTTTGCATTATGTGACTAGTCAAATAAAAAATTAGTTTTCCAGCTTTGGTTACAAAACGAAAAAAGGATTCTGTACATACATTAAGATGGACTGGCTTGACACATCTCTGAAAGAATCAGATCTCATACTGGAGAGCACTAAATTGCATCTTTCAGGTATTTAGGTTTTTTTTAAAAGTGTAACAAAGCTCTAATTAAATGTCTCTTGCTAAGAATAAAAGCATGACTTCCCAACTTTGCTCAAGGTAAAGAACAATGAAACTCCTTCTCTTAATACACTGTGCCAGAAACTTGAAATAAAAATGATTTCTAGCTATTAACTATAATTTTTTTAGACACTATAAATGCTAATTTAAGTGATTTGACCTTGCATAGTGAGACTGCTCTCCACACAGGAGAAATTTCAACCTCAGCAGTTTTTAAACCAAATTACTAATTTCTCTGTTCTCACAGGAGCATTGTGGAACTACATAAATACCTTTGAAAATAATTACTACTAATAATAGAAAAATAAGCCCAGCCATTCAGAATCCACATTTTAAAAGCTCACCATGGTTTTGCAAGCAAAACTATTAATTACAAAAAGTACCACATTTTATTATACGCACTTAATCTCACATCTTTTGAGTATCTGTAGGAGGAGAGCTGGTAATTTAGAAGTTAATTTAGCCACTTTTCACCTCTAAGCTGGCACAAACTATTCTAAACATAACTATGTCTCATCCCCACTGTAACCAAGGTCAAGGACAGTATTTACCAACGTGGCTTAACTAATATTTGGGTTCTTCTACATGTTTTGACAAAAAAGCAGTTTTCCCCAAGGTAAAAGAGTAACAGACCAATACTCTTGCTAATGTTGTCTTGGTAAACTGAAATACAGGCATTATTAAAATTCCCTTTCCACACAATAAAAAGCTTACTCTGAACTCAATGAAATCAAAGTGAATTGGATTTGTATGAAGTGCTGAAATATGTAAGATATTGTGAAGCTGTTACTTACACATTTAGAAATTAAATACCCACTTGCATTTTCCAGAAATACCCAAAGAAAACCACAAACCAAGTCTCTCCCATTCTTCCTCATTTTCTCCACTGTTCTACATCAATGAACCTTTCTTTAAAATTTTGCTTGGTAAATAGCTTTTATTGTTGTATACCTGAAGAAAAAATTACTCTCCTAATTCTAGCTGAATATAAGGATACTACCAGCATAATCAGTAACTTGCAAAAAACCTCTTTGTATAATAAACACTGCAAAGAGCTACACAAGCCCTCTTCAGTAGCCAAGCAGGAAGTTCTGTATTTCTTCATGTCAAAGATCCTAGCAACTTCTCAGCCAAGTTCTATCACTGTATGAGTAAAAATTAGGTTAGTTTCACAGAAATGAAAAGGGATATTCTGACAATTCTTTTAATGTAGTTAAGATATTTAATAATTCATTTTAATTCTGTTGGTGAAATAGATTTCAAAAAGGCAGTAATTAAAACACTTCTTAAATGTTAGATACAGTTCAGTTATCCTGTGGCTGGGCATTCACATGCCTAGATTTGTATAACATCAGATAACTGCAGGATATATTTATCACTTTAGATCTTAGAAGCTCTGATTTTAAAATACCTCAGTATGGATATAACAGACTGTTCAGAATTCATTTGGTTCTATTTCAGTTAATATTTTCATGTGTATAATCCATGTAATACATGTAAAAAGAACAACTTAGTAACACCTCCAATAATATATGTTAGAGGTATAATTTCATAAGAAAACTCCTTCCTTCCCTACGGCCTGGATTCCTCTCCCTCTCTAACTCTTCATTTCTCAAGGATTACGTGCATTATTGAAAACACAAACCAAAACAAAATCAAAAACTCCAACTGTCTCACAATCAAGTTGTGTGATCCTACACGATGACAAAACAACTGTGTCACTCCCTTCTCATTTCACGTTTTCTTGTTACCTGTATTTTGTAGCTAATAGCCAAAAGGGTAAGAATAAATAACCCAACTGGTACTACTGCTTAAATTGTGTGGCAAAAAAAGTGCATGCACTGGGAAATCTTCAGGTTGGTCTCAGAAGAATTGACACTTAAATGACACAGGAACAAATCTATGGATACTAATTCTGCACACAATCTGCCAGATGCACCTCCCCCTATAATTCTGAAATTTTAAGAAACTGAGAATTTACACATAAGTAAAGGCATATTCATTCTCCCTTCCCTATTTTCAATGAAAAACCACTCTATTTAAAAATTGCAGAAATTTATTTTAACAAGAAATCTAAAACATTAAGGCTTGCTGACACCATTTTCCCATCAACACTGAATGGCAATCGAGTAAGGTTCTACTTTTACAAGTCATTTACAACAGTGATAAGCAGTATGTATAAGTAATGATTTTTAGACAAGTTCATTAAACGACAGCATGGCAAATTCAGAGGTAATTTCTTCAAGAAGCTCTAAGCTTTTCTAAAAGGGTATTACTTACTGTGATCAGCTGCTTATCACCATCTTTTCCAGCTTCTTTTAGCTTCTGAATAGGTTCCTCCGATGATGGCAAGTTAGTGCATTTTGATGCTAATGAAGGATTTGACAATGGAGCCCTTGAAATACAAATATATTTCATGTTAAAAATGGAACTGCTTATACACGTCATGCTAGATACTCAAAACGTTGTGATTAGCACAAACTCTACCAAGATGCAAATCCAAATTAATTAAATAAAATACAGTCCTGGTATATTTTAACATGCAAATCAAATGGAAAAACAAGGAAAAAAAAATGATTAATCAAAACCACAGTTTGTAACTAGCCTAATTACAAGGGTTTTTTTTGTTTCTGAAAAAAAAAAATTATTATCAAGTGGCCTCAACCATTAACACCAGCATTTAAAAGAGGCACTATCAGAGCATGGCTGATGGTGCCTAATGCTATGTATTTCCAAAGTAAGATTTAGGTATCACACATCAGGCTGCTAAAGCAGACCATGTAAATATATTCTCACAAATCTAAGTCAGATGTCAAATCCCTACAATTCAAACTTATTCTCTTCAAACAGGTGGCAGTCAAGGGAGGAAGACCTGAGGAATAAATGCATCGGTACTACTGCAATCTTACTCAGTTTAAACCTCTCCTTGTCACAGCTGAAAGAAACACTGGAAAACAGAATAAACTATCACCAAAATCATTCTATGAACTTGCTCCTATATTCAGGGGGAAAAAAGTGACATTTGTTCCAGGTTTGGATAAAACTCATAGAGATTGCCAAAGCAAAGCACACAAAAAAATACACATACTTCAACTAGGTATTGACATATTTTTCTGTTTCTGAACAAATTTAATTGTGGCACCTCCTGTAGCACAGGCAGCAGGTTAATCCAGTGAGCTTTTAAAAAAATTAACTCTTGCCAGACATTTTTAAAATAGCATTTTGTGCTAAATCATTACACAGGGGTAATTTTTTTATTCCACTCACGTGCCCTAAAATTTGCCTTATGTAGCTACTTCAAGGTCTGCCTTTTCCTACAAAGCCCTAAAGAGAGCTACAAGGTAGATGTGCACACAGGTAACAGATTACTCTATTTTATGGTGGGATTACCACAGGAAGAATGATGGCTTAAGTCTTGGATATCATACAGAAAGCAGGGTAAGAAAGGTCTGAGAATTAAAATATATATCCAGATAACAGTAAAGCAATATGAGCTCGTTCAGGTAATAATGGTAATAAATGTAAGTATATACCATAAACCTGTTTGGTAGTTGAGAATAAAAGTAAAAAAAAAAAATCAAAGTTATTGCAGTGCTTATCAATACATTTTAAACCACTCATTTAACTAGTTTGCATCTACCTTGTCAACCATCTTCTGTCAAGTTCCACAGAAGCAGAGTTTTTCAACATGTACTGAAGAACTGGTTAGTCAGAATTGTTAATCTGGCCTCAGAGAGGTGTACTGAAAATTACCTGAAACATTTCTTCTTGTCCCCATTATGAATACAGAAAACAGTAATAACACGCTGGCCACTGCTGCTGCTGCTCAAGGTATCAAGTACAAAGAAATTTTTGTCTTAAGCTTGTAATTGGCTAAAACCAGAGCCTATGTCAGAACTGCTCAAAAACGGTAACAGCCAATGTGATTAAGGCTAAAATACAAACTTGAATTGTAAGACAAATTCAGCACTAAGAACTTTTTCTTTTTAAAATGGCTGCTGACACCTTCCTTTCACAGCAATCACAAAATTCTGAATTAAGCCCCCTCCTCCTCACCTAAAAAAAATTCACCTGTACAACACTCCCATAGTACAAGGAGTAGAAAAACTCCTCCAGATGTAAGTGAAATAATTCAGTACATGAAAATCACATGGCAAATCCTTCCCCAAGTCCCTGGTTCTCATCTGATTTGAGGAAGAGACCAGTATAAACGTTTTTCCAACTCTGTTAAATAATACTTTTTGAAATAATCGTGCAGCTACAAATATCTTAATTATTTTCTTAGCAAACTAAAAACATGCCTAAACAATGGGATAAAATGAAAGTCTGTTTTTACAAAGGGCAAGTCACTTATTTGAAACTGAAAACTGAGGCTAAGAGAAAACTGCTTTATAATAAATTCTCTCCTAACTCTATCCATACAAGGTTACTGCAATTTCATAATGTATTAAATACCATACCTGTTCTCAGATTCAGAAGTTTGACTTGTTACTGAAGCTTGCATCAACTGTGTGGGAGCCAAATCTGCAATTAATAAAAGATTATAACTTTATAATGAAGTTTTTAGTTGCAAAAGAAATTTGAGTTACACAAACAGCGATTTTCAAAAAACATATTCAAAACAGTTTTGCAATCTGTTCATGGCCAATAAAAAAATATTCAAGTTTGAGGCAGTATTCGTATGTTTCTCCAAGTATATTTAGAAAAAAGGCATTTTTCTCCAACATTTTAACAGCAGCTCTGCAGGACAGTTTGCCAGAAGCTAAACAAAGCCAGCAGTAAACTACACAGGAGTTTAAATATGTTTACACTGACACACATATAAATAGCTGTCTGTATTTTATTAGAATCATAAATGTACAGTATCCCCCCATCTGAGGCATATTCCAGAACACTTAAGGAAAAGAAACAATCAAAAACAGCAAAAGAAAGAATTTTTTTTTTAAATTCTGTAACAGAAATTAAGAGTAGTTACTCTTCAAAAGTATCCTACAATGATAGGCAAAAAACTCCCAACTATTTGGTAAAGCTAAATAATAAAACAGTGCACAGTGCAGGGTCAGATGAAAAAAATACATGAAAATCCCAGAACAAACCCCTCATCACTAAGAATAGGGGAAAAAAAAAAAAAAAGAAGAGACAACTTAGTGATTTATTGACAATATTTCTTAGTCAAATGTACCTCAGTCAAAATATTCACATCACACTCATCATAAACTTTGACAAACTGCATTCACATGCTGATAAATGAAGACTACATAATAAAAACAGGAGAGTGACTACTCAATCAATAATTTGGTTAAGATCAAGTAGAAAAATTTAGAAGAAACAAATGTAGATACTTATTCAAAGGAAACAGAGCAGAGAGTTAACAAAAACCAAGCCATGAGAAGAAGCCAACAGAAATATGCAAGTTTTACTGCTTTATTACATGGAAAAGGAAAGAATTTGGTTGGGTTTCTCCTCTTTCCTACTCCACAGCCCAGAGAAGAAAGCACATTTCAGAGCTACTCAAGCAGCCCTGGGTGTGACACAAAGGAACACAAAACCCCCTGGTCAAAAGTTGCAGAAGTTTAGTTCTGCACCAGCTAAGCCTTACTCTGTGACCCATTCCTCTTAAAGGGAGACTTCTCCTCCCACAGAACTGACCAAACCAAGTGGAGAAATCTGCAGTAGACAGTTACCTTGAGGTTCACTTTCTCTGGGTTCTTTTTTGAATTGTTTTGGTGGTCTAGGAGCTGTAACACACTTTACAGGAGAACTTTCTGGACTCGATTCCAAATGCAATCGAAAGTTCTAAGCAAAAGAGAAAACATTAAATTAAAAAATGTCCAAATTATTCAATGCCTTTAACCATAAAATCTCTAATTGAACTAAGCATTAAAATTTTGAATACAGCTTCAGTTTTATGTTAATTTAAGCAGACAAAATGCAACTGATTAGCTAGTCTATACTGAAGTCTGTGATATTAATTTCGAAAAAAATCTTTTTCATTTTATATATAAGCTTGTAAAATATTTTCTATAGAACAGTTATCCTTAAAATCCTAAATTTTAGTAGAAACGCATTCAGATAAGGAAATGAGAGGAAAACAAGTTCATTTACTCCAAAGGTGTAATACACCTTTGCAAAACAAGCTAGAGATGCTGAAGCGTCCATATGAATCCATAGAACCTTTGGCTCCAGCACAAAATTCTACTGATCATCATTTAGTTAACAACAGAATCTAGGAGGGTGGAATCAATTAATTTTTCAGCTTACTATCACCCGTCTATAACAACACAGCAATAAATCTCTAATACATTAGAAAATTTTAAGTTACTGTAAAAGCCATTGTTAAAACAATTCTGAGCATGGGACTCTCAGAAAACAGAATAGATTTAGAACACCCTCCCACTATACACCATAATTAAAATAACTTACCTCATCTGGTCTTGGCTCACATAAATGTTTTGTCAAGTTAGGCAACAGACCATTTTCTGCACCCTTCCTTGTGGGCTGCTTTGTTTCTAATGCTACTTCTTTAGCTTCAGCTCTTTCAGATGAAGGATGTGATTTCTCCTGTGCACAAGTTGTACTTTCATTCTCAAAGAGTCCTGTTGACAGCTTGCCTTGTGCCTTTGAAAGCTCTGCTTCTGCAGCCATTTGACTTGCCTCTGAAACTTCAGGGAAATCTTTTAAAAAAGGAAGCCTGGGGGCATTTGGAAAATTTGAATTACTTTGCTTCACATTACTAGCTTTCAGCAATTTAATTTTGGTCCATTTAGAGTTTTTGTTTGAGGAGTTATTTCTGCCATTCAGAGTGCATTTGACAGGCATGGCTTTTTTGCTAGGGAAAAACCGTTTGCACTGAGTACTTTGACTGGGCTCTTTCAGAGTAAGCATTTCACTTTGCTGCAACTGTGTGTCATCGTGCTTTTCTTCTGCTTTGCTATCCTCTGCATTAGGGGAGTCTTTTCTCACTTCTACTGTATCTGACTCAATCTCACCTGCAATTTCTTCACAAAGTTCAAGGATGCTCACCCGTTTGGATTTTGCATCGTTCTCTGGTTGATCAGCCACATTTGTGTCACTTACAGATGGCTGTGAAGTATTTTTTGGTTTTGTACTGGGTTTTACGTTCTGATGTGTCTGTTGCTTTTCCTTAGATGCTGTAGAATTTGGCTTAAGAGAATCAGTTTCCACTTTCTTTGTGTTGCTAGAATTGGGAGACACAGAGCCCGTTTGGTCTTTCTTGACTTCCTCAAGACTCTCAGCAGGACATGATGAGGACTCTTGAACATTTTGTTGAAAGCTGCTGGAATTATCCTTGTTATTGTCTGCTTTACATTTTTTCTCTTTCAGAGAGCTGGTCACTCCTACACGTATCTCTTTATCCTTGTTTGTATTGTTTGGCTTTATCTTTGTGTTTTTCTGTTCTGTTTTCCCTCCAGCAGATTTCAGTGGTTTTGCTGCAACGCTGCGAGTGTGTTTTTTTGCCTGGCTACTGTGCTTAACTTCTGGAACTTTTTCTTCTTTAACTTCTCTGCTGCGCAGGGATCTTGCTGGAACATGCTCATGTGTTAACTGCTGCAGTCTCTGTGATCTCCTCATTACTGGCTCCTTTGGTGCAATTAAGCATTTTGACTTAGGAATTTCTTGCACAGATTTTTTCTGGCATACCTCCTTATTTTTTGCAGGTTTAGGCTGCTGCTGTTGAACTGTTTTGCTAGGTATTGTTTTATTATTTGAGTTGAGTGCTGATGATCTTGTAGTCATGCGTGTTCCTACTTCAGGTTCATTGGTGTTATTACTGAAAGAGCCAAATAATATTTTTTTTCAGCATCCAGAAAGTACAATCTGTCGTAAGATTCTTTTAATTCCTCCTCTGCTTCTTTCTTTTCTTTTTAAAAATACTAGATCTTATACTCTCAGTATTTTTGGAATAATTTGCTCAAGAATTATCCCAAAAAGGCGTTCACTTCCACCTAGTTACTCCTAAGTGTTGTATTTAATGTTTTTTATGCATGGCAAAACTGAACTATGAACCCCAGCTAAATACTTTTTAACATTTCTACCAGTTTTTAATCACTGACACTTGTGACTTGCAAATGAAGTATGAGTTACATATATATAGATAGATAATATTAGATTTATTTTTGCTTCAGAAACTTTTTTGAAGGAGGTCTTTCTAGATTTCAAGGCACTTAGATGGTTCCAGGGAAAAATCATGTAGCAGTCAGCATACATAACAATTTAAATCTGATCTCCCTTCTAGCACTATTTAACTATTTACTGATTCTTTAACTCAGATTCCCTCTGCTTAGATTGTTTCTGCACTCATGTAGTCTATCAAGATAATGCAGAATTTTGTAATTTTTTTGTCACTGACCTGTTTGGTTTGACAGAGGTTTTGAGCACAGCTTTCTCCTGCGCTGCACACTGACTGGGCTTTGATTTATTTGAGCCATGTTTTGTATCCGACACTTCTTTTTCCTTCTTTGACAAAGAGGGTTTGCTGTTCTTGTCCAGCTTTGGACGTTTAGCAGAAGGTTCTACTAACGTAGACTTCCTTTTCTGAGCTGCCATTTCTGTAAAAACACAAGCAACTCAGCATTGAGACTCTTTGCCAAATATCATGTATTTTCATTTTTATATATTCACTTTCCTTTTACAGCCACATCATGCTGTGATCAGAAAGTAAATCATTAAAGCAATCTCAAATCAAATGACACTCATTTTACTTACAGGTTTTTACAAGAGGCAATCGATGTTTAGGCCAAAGTAACTTATCAAGGTGTGACAAGAGCATTCCTTATGCATATGCTTGCAAACAGGATGTTTCATGCCACCTATGAAGAACAGAAAATGTTCAGGCAGTAAACACTTCGTAACTTCCTATTCAAGACTGCATTTCCACCCTCTTCCATCCCCTCAAACAATGCTTAGCTTTAGAGTTTCATTGATAAGGAGCTTAAAAAAAAACCCCAAACCAAGAACCAACAAAAAACAACAGACAAATTTTATTTTTTATTTCCATATCCAACAATTTTTGGCACTTTGCTTTCTTAAGTGCTGTCCTTTTACCTTTTGAAACGTGGCAAGTAACAGTACAATTCAAAAGGAAGTTTCTCAGTCTTTCACCTTTTTCCAGAAAATAGTGTGCTGCTCTCTTTCAGAGCTGGCAAAAAACGTGGGACTGCTGTCAATCCTGTGCTTCACAGCAACAGGGAATAAATCCATTAGACTCAGTTACCAAGTTTTGTGGCTGCTACAACAGAACTTCACAGACATCAGCAACCACCTACACCTGTTCCTTCTAATATGACTTAAGCTACAAATCAGAGATGGAAAGGCTAGAAAATAGCATTGTTAGAGACATTTGCCTTGGGCAGTTAAAGACAATGTTTTCATGAGAACTGAAATGATGTTAATGATGTAGAAGTTACTCTGCACAAGAGTCTGCGAGCGAACAGAGATTCTTGATAAAAATATCTTCACAGATTTGGCTGATCATCCCTTTCATATACATTTCTGACTTGTGAAACTTTTCAGTTCCCTTATTTAAAGACACCGTTATTGTATAATGATATACGTAATAATTGTTCAATAAAGTTTCACTAAAAACTTCATAAAATAAAGTTTACTGGAAGACTCAGGGGTCAGAAATTCCACATCACCTTTTTCAATCATGAATTACCTATTAATTTTTGTCACTGACAGACTTACAGATTATATACAGATTTCTATAAAACTACATTGCTTTTCAAACCTTAACTGATCTGATGCTAAATCTGACACATTTTTAAGGTCAAACATGAACAATTCACCAGTTTTGTAACACAGACCAGACACTTTCAGTTCATTACAACTAAAGTATGACTTCCAGTATTGACAAATGTATGTCTTTCCCCAACAACTTTAAAGATATTTATGTTAAGCTCCTTTTAGTAATTCATCATTATCCAAAAGGAAAAAGCAAACAATTGCATTTTTTCTTTTCTTTAGACTTTATATTGTCCTTAACCTCATTTTCATTTATGAAAGCATTTCTAACCATGAAAAACTGCTAATTTTGTTAAAAAGCTGGTGAAAAACTCAAATTCCAGATACCAGTGCTGTCTTCTGACTTTCTCCTTTAAAGAAGATACATGATAAACAACCCATCTTTGAGGTATAATTTTTTAATTCTACCCAGGAAAGCAATCTCTAACAGCACTTCTTGTGGTGCTATTTTCATGTCTCACCCTAAGGAGCAGGTAGTAGAATTTGCATGCCTACATTCTAATAGCTCATGACATCTCCCAAGTCTATGGGTTTCCACCAGTCAAAGGAAACCCATCAGAGATGCAGAATGGTCACTCATCCTGAAAATAGCAGCCCTAGTTGCTGAATAGGTCTTTGGTCTCTTAGAGCACAACACCGACCCTCAGAATATGAGAATATCATGTATACACCTGGACCTTCTCTGGATTTTTCCAGACATGACATGGCACACTCGGGGAAGACTCAGAAGTACAAAACAGAAAGTACAGAACTTCCCTCGCTGGTACTCCTTCTCGGGCGACTAAAAAATACACTCTCCTCCCACGGAGCTCTTAAACGTTAATTTCTTTCCTGCTAATACTTTGTACAACAGAGCAAAGTCTTTTCCAGACATTCCAGAACTGGCAGTCTCTGCCCTGGAGAAGTCACCCTCGAGTAAAAGCCGGATTATGGAAAGCAGGGAAGACACAGAAGTGCAGGAACAAACTAGAACGCGAGCAAAGAAAGGACTGGTGCAAGAAGTACGGGGGGGGGGGGGGGGGGGGGGGGCGAAGCCGAAAACGAAATAGAGCAAACAAAAACCTCACACCCAAAAAATCCAAACCAACAAACGAACAAAATAGAGAAACGCGAGCCGCACAGCTTGCAGTCTTTAGAGCAGGGGCTGAGGGAGGTTGCCCACCAGCTGGACAGGGCGCGGGGCTCTCGAACCTGAGCGGTCCCGGCTGAGGGCCAGGGCAGCGCCTGGCAGCCCCTTCGGCACAACTCAGGACGAAGGGAAGGGAAGGGAAGGGAAGGGAAGGGAAGGGAAGGGAAGGCCTCCAAGCGTGGCTCGGTGTCAGCCGCCCCAGCGCCCCGCGGTGACAGCCCTCCCGGGGCAGGGCCTGGCGGCGGGACCCCACTCCCGGCCGGGAGCTCCTGCGGCCCGGCCAGGGCTGCCGGGGGCAGGGCGGGGGTGCCGGGATAAGGCCGGGCGCCCGCCACGGCTCCCCGCTCCCGAGCGGGCACGGCCAGCCCGCTCACCCCGCGACAGCGGCGGGCAGGCCCGGGGAGGAGCCGCCGCCGGGCTCTCGGCCCCGGGCGGGGGCGCGGGGAGCAGCGGGCACAGGGCAGCCGGGGGTGACGGGACCCGGCGGGACACGGGTGGGGTGAAGGTGGGGGGAGTGTGGGAGAGAGCAACTTCCTCAGCGCCCCGTCTCCCACCCCACAGTCTGCCAGCGGCCGCTTACCTCGGGAGGGTGTCAGCGACGTGCCGGCGCTGGCGGAGGCGGCGAGCCCGAGCCTCGAACCCGCCCACAGCCGGGCACCGCCGCGGCGCCGCCCCGTCCCGCCCGCCGCGCCCCGCCCGCCGCCGGCCCAGCCTCCCCCGGCGGGGATGGAGCATCTTCCGGCGGGAGTCGGAACGGGCAGGGCGGGAAGCGGCGGGGTTCGCGCATGCGCAGCCGCCTGTGAGGGTGGCTGTGGTGTGGCACTAAGTAAGGAATGCAGAGACGGGACTAATTAAAACACGCATCTAAGGACTGGAGGGGGTTTACGAGAGCGCCTATTAACAGGACTAGGGGGAATAGCTTCAAACTGAGAGAGAGTAGGTTTAGGTTAGGTATTGGGAAGAAATTCTTTAATGCGAGGCACTGGAACAACTTGCCCAGAGAAGCTGTGGATGCCCCATCCCTGGAAGTGTTCAGGGCCGGGCTGGATGGAGCTCTGAGCAACCTGATAGACCAGCACCTCCTGGTCTATTAGGAGGTGTCCATGCCCACGGCAAGGGGGGCGGAACCAGATGATGTTTAAGCATTCTGGCAGCAATCTCCCAGTGGCTCAGCCTGCTCACACTGTTGGGCACCCGAGCCTCGTCCTTGGGCTAAAAACAAAGGGGAAAAGCACCGCCCATGTGTTGTGGGGCCAGTGGTGACAAAGTGATTGCGGTGGCGGCCTGTGCTGTGTCAGGGGCTGACGCCTCACAGCTGCAGCCATAGTGAAATGAAGAGTCATCTGGGAAGGGGCTTCATCAATGTGTATAAATATCCAAAGGGTGTCAAGAGGATGGAGCAGGCTCTCCTCGGTGGTACTAAGCAGTAGGACATGAGTCAACGGGCAGAAACTGATGCACAGGAAGCTCCACATGAACTGAGGAAGAGCTTTACTGTGTGGATGACTGTGGACTGGGACAGATTGCCCAGAGAGGTTGTGGAGTCCCCCTCACTGGAGATATTCAGGAACCATCTGGGCACAATTCTGTGCCATGTGCTCTAGGATAACCCTGCTTGGGCAGGAAGGTTGGACCACATGACCCTCTGTGGTCTTTTCCAACCTGACCGATTCCGTGTTTCTGTGATTCTGAGTCCCACCAAGTTCCTGGTGGTATTACAGCAGCTGTGTTTGCAGCAGTGTTTCCTTAGTGTTTGTGGGCCCCTTCTCACAATTATGTTTGCAGACACCTTTGAAATAGGTTACTCAGCTGCTGCTCAGCTGTGCAGTTGTGCAGACAGCTGCCAGCCCCTTTCGTACAGGTGTGTCACCGTGTCAGTGTATGTCACTTAGGTGTAAAGCAGGATGGATGCTTGTCTGTGTCTGGAATATTAAAGAGGGCTCTTGGGTGTGACTTGGTCCTGCACTGTGTCCACTCCTCTCTCCAGAGCACTGAATTCACTCAGTGAGCTGCCCTTTTGACTCCATTTGTCCAACTGGCTTTGCTTTCCTAAGTCTGGCAGTAACTCTGAAAGTGCCAGCTAGCTCAATTCTGTGTATTCTGCACAGAGTTTCACAACTCACTCTATAGCATAACCATCATTTTGTGCTTTTTGCCATGGTCTAGGATATTTCAGTCCTTGCTACACTTGTGACAGGGGTAAACACCTCACCAAACCTTATGTTATGGCTTCTTTGCCTCAGGATATTTATGTGTCTGAGCTTGTTGTCTGCACTGGCAAGTATGAGAAGTTCTGAAGAAAAAGCTGAAGATCTGACATCCACACCACTGATGTGGCAGTCCAGCTTTTGTCGCTTTGGATGCAGTGACAACTGGTTTGAATATATTGAGTGTGTTCTGGGGGTGTAACTGTGGGTTTGGTTTCCTTCAAAAGGAATCCATTATGCACACTCCAAGACCCTGGATGGTAAGTGGGAGCCATCAGAGGATTCCCTTCAGAAGTGAGCTGCTGATCCTATCTAGACTAGTGATGCAGAGGTACCTCATGCATACCTAGTGTGCTCCATCCATATTACCTTCCTAGGAGTAACCTGGAGCAGGTCCTCCCTGAAATGCACATAAGTGTGTCAAGATCTCAGCATTTGGTGTCTTTGCTCTGCATGCCCACTCCTATCAGTCTGTACTTGCCAGTATAGACGCAGCCTCAGTTTATTTGACTGTGAATTCACCTAGTGGTGATGTGTATATGCCACTGGAGAACAGTGTGATGAACCGCAGCCAAAAGCCATGAAAAGTTTTAGAGGAAAAGGTAGTGTGTGATGGGGTTTCTCACAGAGATTTCTGATTGCCTCCACATTTTCTCTGATCTAATGGAGACCACGGAAGTATTTTTTTATTTGGTTCTGTAAATATTCATTTGTTAATGCTTGAAATATTTTAAAAAGGGCTATTTTTGTTTTTATAATAAACATTCTAGGTCTGTTTTATAATCTTCAAAACATTTTAGTGATTTCTATTGTTTTCACATTTATGGGATTGTTGGAAATTGCTGACAAGTTTCCAACTAGCATAAATTTGTTTATTTAAATATCAAATTTACCTGGAGACACTCTGTTTTGCTTGTAAAGTTTTTTGTCTCTTTGTCAGCTGGAACACAGAACTGCTTTCCTTGATAAGTCCTCTTTCTGGACACACTTCACTGAAGCACAGTGTGTACTGGATAAATGGGAATTTTCAGTAGCTGTAGTTTTTTTTAAAAGCTGATAGGAGGAGATGTTATTTATAACTCCCTGTAGCAGCTCCTCTTTAATGCATGATAATCTGCTGTGACTTTACAATGAACGCAGCCACATGTGGTCTCCTGCTCTCCTTCAGTAACCAACAGAATATTTTCCAGATGAAAGATATTTTAATCACTAGCCTGCATGTAAATTTTGAAGGATGATAAAAGCTTTTTTTCATGTTACCATTATCTTTATGAATTTAAACTTATGTTTTCCCATGTCTCTTTCTTAGGAACATGAAGCAAATAAACTTAGATTTTCTTCCATCCTTCCATGAAATAGTAATTTGCTGTATAGCAGGGAAATGGTAAAGTAGCAGGCATTCTTATAAAGCATTAAATTGCAAAATTTGGAAAAAACTTATTTCACGGGATAGAAGAATATCAGTAATTTTCCAGTTTTCCACAGAAGGTGGCAGCATTCTGAAGCACTGATGTCAGTGTGAACTTGCTAACAAATGCCGTTGTTGAAAGAACACAAACTTTACAGAAATTTACTCTCCTTGGAGGTTGTGGTGAATATAAACAGGAGTGCTTGGGCATGAATTGTTGGTGAACTGGGGAACCTGGGGAGGGAGGAGAAACTGCAGTCACATAAGGGGAGTATATGAGTTAGGACAGATTTAACTCCAGAAGATTTAACCCCTTTGTTAATTTAGCCGTGTTTATTTACCACTGCAGTAATACTGCTGGAGTGACTCTTGTCTGAAGCTATGTGAAAAATTACTTGTTTCTAGGTTATGCCTTTTTTCACCGAATAACTCAGCTGATAATGGATCACTCCACTAATTGCAGACAATGTCCTGCTGGGCTGCAGCTTTGGGAGATGAATGTCACCAGAGAGTGGAAGCTTCTCCTATTATTTTCTCCACTTCCTTTGCCCACTCCCAGCAGTGTTCTCCAGCTCCTTAACCATGTCAGCCTCCATCTAGCACCTGAGGAACCCCCATAGGCATGCAAATTTGCTCCTGAGCTAGCAAAAAAAAAACCCAAACAAAGCCAGTGGAAAAACTGTCATATTCTACCAGAGTAAGAAAGGCTGAGGACCGTGTGACTGGAATCAGGATAAGGAAAGACGGGGAGGAGGAAGCGCAAGCCTTCCCCTTTTGGCATGAGGGAGCTGCTGCCATTGATAGCTGCTTGTGAAGCCGCAGCTTTAGGGCGGGCTGCACACTTTCAGGATTGAGCTCTTGATCCCAAACTCCATCCCAGCGGTCCTAGCAGCACGCGGGTTTTA